AATCTTAGTATTAATTTTTATAAATGTATTAGAATATAGCAATAAAGTAATTAATTATCAATGTAATGAGTGCAAAGAGGTAACTGACTTACTAATTTTTTTACAAATAAAATTAATGAGAAGTAAAATAATTTAACAATACATAATATCATTTTAAAGTTACTGACAATATTAGGTTTTAGGATATAAAGTAGTAGGATGTATGTATAATGTAGAATATTAGAGAAAGCAGGTCTTTTACTATTTAGAACATAAAAATATCAATTTGTGTACTATTCATATTTTCTGTTCTCTGATACCCTTTATAATAATAATACAGAATGATAATTTTCCAAAAAACCTACTATATTTACAACGCAAAATAATGATGTGATATTTGTAATTTTCATTATAGTAAAACTCAACTTAGGAAAGTATTATTAATTTTTATGTGTAAATGGAATTATGATATATATTTATAATAAATAGAATTTATGTTGCTAGTTACTAACTCACTTGAAAATTTGCATAAGACATTTTGAAAATTATTAATGTTATAGACATCTAAATCATTGTAAAATAATTTTATTATGAAATAAGACTTTTCAATGTTTGTGCATATAAATGTCTTATAAATACAATTACTACAAATGCATTAAAGTTATTATATTTATAAATGTATAATAATAACTTATAATAGAAATATAAAGCAACTTATGATAAATCATAATAAAAACAAAAATTATAATAATATAAAAAATCATAGCTTATAAAGATGTATGGAAATGCAATGGTCATAAATTTCATGTGGAACAATGTACTGTTATATAAAAATTTCTTTCATGTTTTCTGAGCTCATTATTTAACAAAGCATTAAAGAATATTAAACAAAAATATTTGCTAGATATAACAAAAAACAGTTTTCTTTTTGTTTTGTAAGTGTTTTTATACACTTGGCTCTTTCTCTAGTGCTACTAGCATAAACATCAAATGGAAGGGAGAAAACATGGCCACCTATAGTGTATAAAAGGGTACCATGCTCAATCTCTAAGCACAGTAAGATATTAGATCTAGGAGGAAAAGTATCGTGCTAACACTATGTTCCTGTATCATATGGGTAAATGAAAAATTAACACTACAACTTATGTTTGAATTTAAACCATATACACATAATAAATAATATATATCAATACAATGCTTAAATAATTCTATTACTTACGGTGTAGTAGGTGCTGCTATATCAATATGCTTGCTAAGCAAAACCACAGAAGCAATTATAGGTGTTGATGAATGCCAGGCAACTCCAGTCATCCACTTTCTGCAATATCCAGGATGTGTTCCAAAACCAATACCCAGCTATGCATGCAGAGGACGTTGTAGCAGTTACCTACAGGTGAAACATATAACAAATATATACATGAATATATTTACAATATAGATAAATGTAATGAATAAAATATCTTCATATCACTAAAAAGGTATATGAATTTTTTTTGTAGTAACGATCAAAACAATGAATAGTTCCACAAAGAATATTTATTTACTTTCTGACATTCTTATTTACTACTAATCTAAAATAATGAAAAATATATTATCCTTAGTACAATTTTATAAATATTAGAAATTTTATTTTACACCATTATTTAATATCATTTGGTTTTAATTCTGAGACTATAACAAATCAAAATTACACAAATTTTAAGAGACAAACATTTACTTCCTAGCATTTTATTTATGAAATTTTGTCTTTACCTATAGATGTATAATTTTATGTAATAAGAGGTAAATGCCACAGTATTCTTAATTCACATGTATTATATGTGTACAAAAAATTGTAAGCATTTTCTACCATTTGTGTTACAAGTTTGATAACTATGCAATTAAGCATCAGTTTTACATTTATAGTTAGATACTATCATACTTTTGCGCAACATAATTTCAAAATTAACTTACATAAACATTTGTTTATTCGTACCTGTGTCTACAGGTGTCCGGATCAAAAATTTGGCAAATGGAGAGAAGCTGCATGTGTTGTCAAGAAAGCGGCGAGAGAGAAGCCAGTGTATCCCTATTTTGTCCGAGAGCCAAACCAGGCGAAAAAAAATTCCGAAAGGTTTGATTATTATTTTAAATTAATCATAGAATTTCGAAGATTTTGAACAAATGTCAAAAATTAACGAAGTAACGATCGGTTATTCACTTGAACAATAAAATTAGAACTAAAGCTTCTGACACCACGAGTTTTGCACAGCCATATTGTTTTCGTCTAACCGACCAGTGGGAAGCATGTAAAAAGATTAATAATATAAGAAGTCAAATGGAAATACTTTTATTTAATAAAGTTTGTAAACATACGGATACGTATGAATTTACAATTATTTGTTCTCAGGTAATTACCAAAGCGCCTCTAGAGTGTATGTGTAGACCGTGCACTAGTGTCGAAGAATATGCAATTATTCCGCAAGAAATTGCTGGATTTGCTGATGAAAGTCCGTTTACGACCTCTGCACATTTCAGAAGATCCTCTGATTTGCAGTAAATATTTAATCCAACTTTGTATTTTAAGAGCAACAAAACAAAACTATGTTAAAAATAAGAAGCACTTCGTTGCATATACGTAACGTTATAAAAATATAAATAAACTGAAAGCGTAAAATATTTAACGCAAAAGTATAATTAAATTCTTTACATTAACATAAAAAGATTGCTTAATTTGTCAAATAATTTTCATACACAAAGATTGTTCCTTACAGAAATATATATGTATTTGTTATTTTAATTCTTCAGTAAAAAGAAAAAAAGCTCATTTAAGAAGATACTGCGAATATTAATTAATGTTTTGGTGGATGTACATCAGAAGCCTTATTAGTTTGTTATAAATAATTTCAATTATATTACATACATATAAAATAACTACATTGTAATAAATATACAATATAGGATATTACGCGTTTAGTGTTTTTAAAAATGCGTATTTATGTGTAATACGTTACAGTATGATTATAATTATTGCATCTTAATGTTATGTTGTAAATCATTACATCCTGTCAAGTATACATTATCTACAAGTTTTTAATTTCAAGTGCATCAGATATTAATATTTAGATTTTAGCAAATTTTATTCGAAATCGTATATACATAATTCGTTCAGTATTATACGTATTTCGTTTGCGGTTATGAAGACAACATTACGAACAGTGTTACAAAAAAATATACAGATTACTGATTTAGTTAATGATTTTCTTCGGCGTTGTGATCGATGCATCTAGACAGGCATATATATTCAAGAAAATAATCAACAACAGTTTGACATGGAGTTCTTTTTTATTTTTTTTTTCTTTTTCGTATAGATATGATTTATCATAGAAGTGTACGTGTGTATTTGTGTATTGTGTTTTGGAATTTTTAGTGATATTTTATTTATATTATGTATATGTATATTAATGTAAACGTAAGCACACGCAGATATATGTATAAATAATAGCGATATACGTGCGTGTTCATACGTGAATTATCATCGGCACGATGCATCGCATGCATGTGCAACATTTCAAGACAGCATAATGACAACGCTGTCTTCTTTCTCTACCTTTGCAACCTGTCCAATCCTCACTTACAATATTTATTTATTAAATATTTACAGTGATAATCTTTTTACTTGTAATTCACTTATCGACATGTTTCCAACAACGTTTCCTTTAATTTTACTCATATATAAATTATTGTAATTTTATTTATTTACTGCGTCTTGAGTGCTTTTTTATGTTTCATCTCGTCGAGTGATACATTCTACCAGTAGAGTAGAATGGAATCGTTCAAGGAGACAAATATTATAGGTCACTATTCTTAGTTCATTCACAAATCTTTCGCACTCTTCTTCACTTCGTATATATTCTCATTTTTACAGTGTGAAAAAAGCAATAGCGATGGTCGTAATCTTTTCTTCATCCACCTCCTTATTTTTTCCTACCTTGCTTCGTTCTTGCCGTGTTCAAAAAAATATGCAGTTTTTCCTACTGTTAAATTTTTTATTATATAATTCACTAAAATATAATGATTTAAAGATTTATTTTTTAAACTTTTCGAAATTAATTTTGAATTACCAAACATAAAATATGCATTTGGAATGCAAGTAGATTGTATACTAAGATTATAAGATGCGATAAAGAAAGTAATAAACATATAATCAAGCGATCAAGAAATCGCGACGATGAAGGGTACATATTGTATCAAAATTTGAAAACAGAGGTATAATTTTGTAACACTGTATGTGTCCTTATGCGTGCACATTTGTATACATGTGGAAACACGCACATACACACATACATATATATATATGACTTAACAGAGTCGAATGCAATACATGGTAACTTTTTATCCCTTCAACAACGCAAAGAGTTTATAAAAAGTATAAATGGCAAACTTGGCTAGTATCTAATAAACGAGTACAAATTTGTATATCTCGGTATCAATCAGTAATTACAACTTCTTAAATAAAGAGAGTATATTTAATATGTGAAACATTAAACAAAAACAATATAGAATTGTTTTCTAGAATTAAATAAAAATAATCTTTCATAACTGCACTCAAATCTCCTATTTCATTTATATATATAATAGTATATCCAAAAGAAATGTATTTTTCACACTGTACTTTAAATTAGTATAACAATTTTATACAATTTGCTACGGCACCTGCCACCTGAATACATGCAGACATTCCATTCCACGCACTATAATCTGTTCTCTCAATGTTTATAAATAACTAGTGTTAAAAAATAGTAGCGCCTTAATATGCACACCATTTGTATCCTTCCGTTTCCTAATTTCAACATATCCTACACTACGAACCATAGTTCCGTAATGTTATGTTTCACTGTTCACTCTCATTCTTTCTTAATTACGAACGTTTCTTTTTTCTTCTTACAGTAGAATACATTGTAAGTTCGCAAGATATAAATTAGTAATTCTGTTATATTTGTTATAATAATAGGAAGAACCGTCGCCCTTGCATCAGACTTGGTTATCGATAGTTTTTTTTCTGTATATTCCTCAAATATAATTTACTTAAAATTGACCTACATATACACATCTGCGATCTGTAATTTGTTATCTAAGTCACACAGCAAACACTGGCTGCTTTGCGATATCGCTTAGTGAAATTCAAAGTAGCACTTTACGATTTTTTCAATACGAAGCATAAACGAAAAATTATAAATTTCAATTGTTATTGGGCGATTGACAAGCTGCAGTGACATTTCGCAAGACATAAAAAATACGATAATGTTCTCGAGTTGTTTTTTTTTTTGCTTTATTTAAACTTTAAACCATTTCAATTGAATTATATATAATAATTATCTTGCATTTACTTTTGTATCATAATTAATAATTAATCTTTATCTTCATTATGTATAGCGGTCTCAGCCATTGTGTCCGTTTTTATATGACAACCTTCTTTATTATCTTCCACTTCTTGTTCTTCGAAGTTCTAGACTATATTACATACACCCGCGCACTACTATCACTCCATTGTTTTCTTCAATATATATGACGTTTTTCTTTAAAAAACTGCAATTTGATCTCACTTCGCGTAGCTTTTTTTTAATATGGGAACGTTAAATATTTAAGTTCAGGTGCTTTTAACAGACGAATACGTACTGGACCACGGTATGGTCAACAATGGTTCACGCTAGTTGATACGTCTTCTACACTGGAAGCATCATCAGCCTCTTGTAAATCAGTGAAAAACGATGTTAGCGCCATCGTCGCAACACCATGCCACTCGCGTTGAGCTGGCTCAGGACTCTTTCTCCACGTCAGGAACGCGTCGGTTGAAATTATATTATAGTCCGACAAGTTTGTCATAATATTAAAGAGAACCCCTGCACACAAAAAAACAGCAATAATATTATGTAACCATGACCAAATTTTTCTATTATAGAACAAGTTATTTAGTTTGAAGTACCATATCTTACCGTGTGGATATTGTAAATTATGCAAATAAAGTTGAATCGCATAAAGGCATTGCAATTCTAAAGATTCCTTTGCATCAACGTATCGGCGAATTAATTGTTGGTAATTAATGAAATACTCGTCTTTGAAATTACACCTGTTATTAACTATCTCTGAAAACAACAAAGTAAGGAAAAACAATTATAGTTTATCAACTTTAAAAAATTAGTAGAACATACAATAGCAATACATACCCATGGACGTCTCTAAAATGGCAGTCGTTAATACTCGAATGAATTCAGGCTCTTTGACTCGATTACCTACATTTACCTACGATAATCAATAAATACAATTGCATTAATCGATTAACATATATGCAATTACATCCGAAATACTTACACTTATCCAATCACAAATCGCGTCAAAGTTACTTTTCTTCATGAGTCTTCTAAGTTCATCATGAATTTGTTGAAACGTGGGTTGGTTACTAGTTGAGCTTTTGGCACTATTATAATCACAAGTGCAGAACTCCAAGTTCTAAACATAATGACACTATTTTTAGCTTTTGCTACAAATAAATTTGTATTTATTTTAGTATGATCTTACGTAATCTTTAATAATTTTGCCAGCATCTTCAAGTTCTGGATCAATTATATTGCTCAACTGAAGTCCACTTTGGTCCCATTTATCTGCAACCCACTTGGGTCCTTTATCTCGGGATAATTTCAATAATAATTCACCAAGGAATATGCCTACGTTTCCTCGATTTCTTAATCTATCAAACATAGGTTTCAACTCCGATAGAGGGACTAAGTCATCTTCTATTGATTGTGCTGCAAAAGAAATATCGTAATACTAACTTTCTTTTCGTAATATAAGCAAAAATTGATATTGTTACTGTCAGCCCTGTTGAGCAAATATTCCCGCATGGAAATTCTCTATGGTGAAAAGTTGTCATCATATTTGATCAATATTTTTTAATTGAAAATGTCTTTAGAGTAACAAACATACGAATAATTATAATATAATGTAATTAAGTTTTATTAAGTGCTTTACACCTATGTACTTACATAGTATCTCTGCCAGATATAACCAAACTTTAGGTATATCGATTAGAAGATCGTCAACTAATTCCAATATTTCAATAAACCTAAAAAATTAATTATACTTGTAAAATAGTATCAATAAAACATTTTCAGAATTCTTATAATGATTCTAATCAGTATCCTTTTGACTTGATAATTAACTTCAACACGTTTTCTCTGAATAAAAATTTCATCATTTCTCTTTACTAAAAAATTAAATGTTAATTACAGTTATAAAATAACTTACCCAAATCGGAAATTTTGCACAGGTAAAACTTTCTGATTAATTAAATGCGACAAAAGATACGATACACGTTCTCTGTCAAGAGGCGATTTTTCGAGAACGAAGTTGATCAAATCACGTATGAATTTTGTTAATGCATTGTCGAAGTTCTGTTGAATAGCCAACGTAACTTGCTGCAAAATAAATTATTTTAATGAAATAAGACATTTTTTTTTTTTTTTTTTTATAAACAAAATAATATGTCCTCTCGTTGATCGT